CCGGCCGGCGGACTATGAAAGCAGCCAATCTGATCCCTCAAGTTAGAAACAGAAGGAAAACGAAAAATTCTCGATTTCGAGATGATTTTGAGTGTCTAAAACTGAGACGGAAACTCTGATCCGCTTAATATTTGTGGACAGCGTGTAGAAGACATTTGAATAAATAATTCATATATGTATAAACATGCCATCCACTAAACAACATACATCGCTAAAAGTGGAGATCAATTATACTCGTGATAGTGTAGGAAAGACAAATGTCGTGACTAGAAAATAGTTTTACGAAACAGATCAAACCATGAGATCACCAATAAACTGAAGTTGCAGGTTTCCTGCGAATCTCATGAAAGTCCTGATGTTGTGGGGTGCAGTAGACATAAGAAGTAAACAGTACAAAAATTCAGCTCAACAAGGTCTTCAACTTCGCAGCATTACGTTCTCTGCAAGTAGCATTATTAGATCAATTTTATTCATTTATCTCCGACACACTCATTATGTAACCCTTCAATCGAATAGTGCATACTCATTATAGGCCGATCATCATTTCTGTAGATGATCAGAGCAGCCCACAGAATTTTGAGAAAAAAAACCCACTTTTTACCGCTCCTAGTTCGAGGACGTGATGGAGTTGCCGATGCTCCCAAATCTGTTTTGTATGAGTAGAATAATGGAATCGATTGATTCGCGTCCAACTAAAATTAAATCCTGTTCAATGCTGAACAGATGACGTAGCGACAATCAAACAAATTAAATTTTATTAGCTTTTATCAGTTGAAGATCGGAATTGTCTTGAAAGTACACCTCATAAACTCCTGAATAACTTTAGAAAACGTCCCCAAATAAAAAGTGAAGGAATTTGTTTCAACTGTACATCATCTCTCACCTGATACGGCTGAACAGGAAGTGGTGCTGCCGCCCGCATGTTGTTCCCAGTGTAGGCGATAGCGTTCAACTGCCAATCACCCATCTCCTCACTCCAGCTCACGTACTTCTCGATCAACTCTACGTATTCAGGAGGAATGTATTCATCAATAATCGTCATGTTGAGGAGAAGCTCCTGAAAAGCAATTCACCACTGCATGAAAGTATGGACATTAGGTATTGAATAAGAAACTAAAATGCCAGCCATTCAAGTTTCCAGGAAATGCCTATTTTGAACAGAAAAAACGTTTGGTATTGACGTTCATCCCTTAGTGCTAAGGAGAACAAAACCCGGTCGCGTCGAAGCCTTTTCCTTCTTACAAATCGACTAAAGCCACCATCAGAGGAAACAAAGCACATATGTCCTTGATTATCGATTTTGAATATGGAAATGGCCTACAATAACCAACCATCAAGAATTATGTCACGCACCAACCCTTGCTACCCATTCATGACACATTCTAGGAAATGCCCACAGCGCCGATGCATTACATTGTCACAAAAGGGACCAATTATTAGGAGTTACTATGTAATTTGGATGAACGACATACCTTTCTAAGCTGTCTTATGCTCTCCAAAAGCCCCTCTACCTCACGATGGTGTTCTGCCTCGGAATCCGCAAGTTCAGTTCTGACTTCACATAATTCATTCCATGTGCGTCGCAGGCGTCGAGTCTTTGCAGCAGCTTCATCTTGTAACGAAGAATATCTGAAAGTAGTCACTTCACAAATGAACAAAATCTACGAAAGCCTTTAGTTTGAAGTTGACTCTTTAAGCTGTACAACCGAGATATNTAAAGTTTGTTAATATCTCGGTTGTACAGCTTAAAGAGTCAACTTCAAACTAGAGGAAGAATGCCGAGATTCATCGACAGTCGCACATGGACTCTACGAAAGCCGTTTCGGCACTTCCAAACATTCAAACCACAGCATGTATAGCTGATTTCCGAAGCACGTTCACTGATTCTTAATTTGATCCTTATATTTCTTTATCTGACCTATCCGATGAATATTATGTAAGATAATAGGCAGCATGTTTAAAACCTCCGTGATATATCTGAAGCGCCATTATTAAAATACAAATGACTTCCGATCAAGCAAGATCGATTTTATCGCGATTAAAGACCGATCAATCGTCTCAGGAATTCGAACCCACCCTCGACTGCCATTCAAATTCGCAGATGTGTTTCGAATGCATATGTGGCCCATGCAATGACTTGCGGAGGTCAGCAATTGTGATGTCTGCGCTTTCATCTTCCGAGACGAGTTTGGCACCAATCAATCGTCCCCGAAGGGATAGAGGGTATAGTTGGCCCGAGTGGATATAGAGCCGGGATTGGAACCCATAACCATGCGTGTGGGATAGTGCGCCATTTGCCACTATACCACCTCCGCCCTTTGACTTTACAGAATTTTGAGGAGATGGGTGCGATTATGAAGGCAGTAGAGGAGAATTGCTAATGTGCGGATCTAATTCTTATTGCAAACACCTGAAATATGCCTATGCTCCGATACAAGAATGGCAGTCAGGAAGAACACGACAGTAGCAGTTCAAGTTCAAGGCTGAAGACGAGTTTCACACGGGAGAGCCAGGCTACACATGTTCTGACCTTGGTGCATTTAAGTGTCTCGGGCTATAACTTGACCATTTTATCACTTCGTATACACTTTTTCGAATGAGAAGTGGTAATGATGATGTACATATAAACGGTATATGAGATATTCGATGGTGATTCTGTTCAACAGTGTCGTATTGAGCGTCGTATTTGAAAGTTATAAAGCGCCTTGAACATTGATCATCTCCTGCTTAAAGTTATCCCCCCAAAATCAACTGGAGCCGTTTCCTGAATCAGAGATCGTGACTTCGCCTACTGGCTCCCACATCATTCATAATCATTGAAGGGTAACACTGATGAACAGCCATCAGGTTCTCAGAGGAATACCGGCGGCAATCAGCAAGCAGTTCAACGTTGCATCTGTTCAGATTTGCTACAATGTGTGACTCGTCACGAAACAGCTTTTACTAAATTTTCNCCACAGCAGTGGCTATGAGAAAAAAAGATTTAATATAAGGAGACCCAAGAACCTACTTTTCTTCTATGTCCTCTCTCGCAGCAGCTTTCTCCTTTAATTGATCTCGAAGACGAGACTCCTGTGTTCGAGACAACTCCAATTCACTGAAAAGGACATTTCGTTCAACACTTCGAATCTAAGAATTATTCAACTTAGAAGTTATCGCTTTAATGACGTGTATTCATGAGTAGCATGACCTTAAGGCATCTATACCATATTTGTTACCTATAAGTATCCTGAGGCCGTGAAAATCTCTTACAACAACTGAACCTCACCGATTACTCTCCTCCAAGAGCCTGGCCTGCTCTTCCGCCTTCTCTAGCATGTTTTCTCCACCCACAATGAGTCTGCTTTCCATCTGGCTAAGCTTCGCGCGCAAATCAGCGTGCTCGGCTCTGGCACGCTTCAGCTCCGCCTCCCTGTAAAAAAACTTTTGAACTGATTCAACAAGCACAACAACATAACAGCGAAGGCTTGCCTTTCAAGCATTTGTTGGACGAGAGCTCTCGTCTCCTCGTCTTCTGCGTTTCTTCCAGCCAATTCTTCTCGGGTCTTCTCCAGATTCTGCTCCATTTCCTGCATACGTTGTTCCCAAGTAGACTCGTTCTCGTTGTCCATTTCCGAATCTTCCTCTGGAATAACCAGAAAATGAATTGAAGATCTTACCGGAATATACTTTCATTTCCATCTACAGTATGTCCCATGAAATAAGATTATAAGCGAAAAAAAAAACAACGAGGGATCGCTTTGCAGTCGATATTCTCTAAAGAATCTACACCTTTCCCGAAGGAATTCCAGCAAGACATCATCTTCTCATCTTCCAGACCTTTCTAAGCCACTGACAAGATGCTTACCAGCTAGCTGCTTTCTCAACATCTCTATTTCGTGTTGGTACTTCCTAAGTTGGGCGTCTTTTGGATCTTCGTTTATCCTGGCCACATTTTGAATGTTTTTCGCTCGATTCGCATAGCGTAATGTTGATAAAGTTTCATCATAGTTGTACGACGCCGGACCAATATTTGCTATCTGAGAAAATAATTATACAGTAATAATATAGCCCCAAGACGAATACTACATTCAAATGTGGCTAAAAACAGTGATAAGACCTGTTTGGACTTAAGGAGTTGTACCGTGCTAAAATGCTAGACCACAAGCTTAACAGCCTTTGAAACAATTTAATGTAATCGGAAACAGTTTGAATAAAAAATGCTAGCAGGTGAAGAAGCTCACCATCACAGTTTTCGAATTTCCTCCCAGAGAGTCTTGCAGCAGGCGTGTTAGCTTGGAATTTCTGAAACAAATAAACAAGATCAACAAAAGTGCAAATGCCGCTGTATCAGACTTCCGCCAAATCCACCTATACGACCAGAAATCCATCCATTTCGGTTTCAAGAAAAGACCACAGACCACAAAGACCAGAGAATACCACATTTCAGATAAGAGTAAGATGCATACCTGTAGGGTATATGTGTAGATTTTACGTCCACGAGCGCACTGATAACGTTTCCCAGAGTAGACAGCGAAAGATTGATTTTAGCTGCTTCCTTAAAATGCATCTCAGTCGTTTAAGGAAGAAATTCGGAAGTACAACTACAAGTTAAAGGCGGTTTGGAGTAGAGCCACCCTTCCAAATCTGTTAATATTAGTTCAACCGTTTTTCATGAGGATCGGTCTACAACTTTTCATATTCTCCTCACACCGTTCAAGCGTTCACGCTCAACGCTGTATGCGCTAGTCATGAACATTGCTTTCGTGCTTCGTGAAATAAAGGGTGGTCATGCGGACTGGCCTCAACCCACCCGCATGGGGTATGCAAAAAGTTGCTCATATGTCAGGAACCCTACCTTCAATCGCTCTCCAGCGGCTCCAGTTTTGCTCTGACGTTCGCTACCCGCTAGATCGACAAGATGCAACTTTCCCTGAGTAACCATGCCTCTTTCGCTGGCTTCAACCGTCACCGAAAACATAGCATGGGAACGACTGCTTTCTTCGTTCATCTGAGTCGCTCCAACTCTCCCTACAAACACGACCAAAACAAATTTCATTCGTCTTCGTCTAACTATCGTATAGATTCAAAACTGTATGGAGATCTGTGAGAAACCGTGAGAATTGTTTCAAATAAGAACTTACGGTTCTTGTTACCGAATTCCATGAGTTTTTGCATCTGACTAGCACTTCCAACAATTATTGAAATCAAGTTTTTCACATAAACTCCGATGTCGGCCTTTTCCTAAAGACTTGTTTGTATTTAATATCAAGGATGACAAAGTAGTTTTAGTACAAAAACAAAGAGGAGCGTCGTCAACGATCAACAGGTTGGAGGCAACATAATGATATCTTCTTGATTGATGAAGAAGCAGAAATAGCATCACTGGGGCAAACATGATTCTCAGAGAATTTGCACTTGCCCGAGGTTCACCCTGTTAATGTTCTAACTGATCCAGAGCGACCGAAACACTGCACGTCCAACTGGATCTCCCATGAAACAGCCCCATGGAGAAATGAAATTCTCCAAAATATTGTCGTTATGCCCCACAGCACATTTATTGCTTTAGAATCAGCACCAAATCAGCCACTGCTGGTTGAACATCATCCGCTTTCAATGACAACCCTGACCTTACTAAAGCATTACTTGAATCTTCTAGCACGGTAGAAAGTTTTCAAAATTCATACACCCAACCTTGATCTCCAAATTCGACGTGTGACTGTCCTTAGCAAGCAAATCACGTAACTCCTCATTGTATATTTCCAAGTAAGAGACTCGAACAAGGAAACTAAATTATAATTAATTTTACTGGCACTACAAAATGCGTAAATGTATAAACTACTCACGTGGTATCTTGCTGACATTTGGCGATATGGTCGAAGATATGCGCAAATGAATTTGGTATAATTCCTTGCAACTCTGGCCTTTCCAAATCACCGGTCATTGTGAAAGTTTTTCCTGTTCCTGTTTGACCGTATGCAAAAATGGTGCCTGGAACCATTTCATCAGCTGATGTGAAACGACTTTCAACGGAAGTTGACTCAGAATAAATCAACGAGCAAGACTGTGGAGGAAAGATTTTAATTATAAGCCTTGAACTGATGTTATCACTTACCAGATAGTATATAAGGAATGTGCGTGTGACCCAGGACAGAGGAATATTGAAGCAATTACATTTAAAAAAGGGAAACACAGACAGGTACTAGTTCTTGTTGGGATTGTGAGACAGAGAGGATACATCAAACCTTCCTTCTATACTTGAATTTGACTTGTACATGGGTACTTAAAAGGGATAGAGTATTAAAACACCATAATCACAGTTTATAAAAACAAACGGAGAGAGATAGGGAAGGTACTCAGATACACTTTCAGTTGCTGGAACTAACCGTTATATCCCTTGAGCACATTTTCCACTATTGGTCTTGCAGCAACATTATATACACGCATTTGATCACAGTCAGGTGGAAAAACTGCGTCAAAATAAAACGTCCTCCTAGGTTCCTGAAATGATAAGTTCACATCAAAGTGTCACATTACAACCTCAAAATTCCAAAGGAACGAAATGCAATGAAGTTGTGGAGCGTAGAAAAGTTTTCAGCTCTCTGAGAAATTATCCATTCTCATGATTTTGTTATTCTCAACGCTAACGAAAATTTTTAGCATTTTCTGGTATGAATAGAAGTAAGAGTAACCTATCACGAAACTGTGCAACAGCTCTAACAGCTCTATGATTAATTTTAAGCCAAACCTACAGGTGACATGATAGGGACAAGATGTGGACTTCACCAGAAAACCATTAACAGTGAGGAAGTTCGAAACACCAATGCCATTCTATTTCTTGTCATGAATGTGCAAGCCAAATCAGGAATTATTTTCGAAAGGTAACATTGAAACATGGAAATCGGACGAACAAGCGCGCGACCCCTTCGCATCCCAACCTTTGACCAATCAGCCCTTTGATAGAACTCATGAGCAATCCTCAAATAGGGTAAAAATAATAGAATGTACTCACATAAATTCAAAAGCACAGAAAAAAGTCACAAAAATGTATGTCCACCTACATCTTTCCCTGTAGCTTGTTCCAGTATCACAGAGTTGTCCTCCGTTGAAACTCTCACAGCGACTTTGTGGCCCTGATTGAGTTCCCGTTGCGACATAGGCCGGCATCTCACTACAACCTTAACCTTCTCTGCCTCCTCCATCTGAATTTCTTCGTTGATTATCCGGCTTCTAAGAGACATAAGAAGCTGAGTTGATGTAAGGTGGCAGCTTGAACTGTTGGAAACCGATATAAAACAGGTTTTGAGAAGATTTATGCAAGAAGCACACGATCCGACCACGATAAGCACTTTAATTATTACGTTAATCTGAGTTCATGAAAACAAATGAATGGGAGATGCAATGGATTTCAAGAGGCTGGTGAGAAATGAAAAAGCTCTTCGAGTCGCTTTCAACAAGAGCTGCACAAGATATACAAAAAAATGGTTGACGCAGGGTACGCTCGACGGCCGATATTTTGCTTTTTAAGCAGCACCGACAGTACGAAAATAGATAAGCAAATATTTAGCTGACGGATCTACTTAAGTAAGTTGAATTGGCTCTTCATATATCCTTGAAAATCACGAAGGAGGAAATCTCTGAATGCAAAGTACTACGTTAGCCTCCTTTTCAGCCCTTACTATGAAGTCGCCCCATGAGTAGGCTTTTCAACATAACGCTTTTTTAGATCCGTCAGCTATAACTCTAAAATAATCAAAATAATAAAGAATAATGAGTGATTTCTAACGTCCACTAGTTTCGAATAACAATTAAAATGGAAGTAATACTTGGAAAGTATCAGTTCAGTTATTAACTTTCAACACGAGAAAAATTGTACAGTACAAAATCAAACATCAGCCAAAGCTGAAGAGATGAATACTTAAGATGGAAATTGCAGCTCGGTGTTATTATTCGCTCAAAACATAACCACAATATGACAAGAGTCGTAAAAGTCAATGATTCGCGAGACGGCGATTCCGCTTAAAATAGTATCCGGCCATATGATTCAAGAGCTGTGACATCTTCAGTTCTTAACGTCCGTGAAAATGCTTTCAACACAGATATTGCCTTCTATTGGCATGATGGATTTAAAAGAATAAGTCATTTCAGAGCGTCACGGTATCACAAAAAGCACAGGAAATTACGGGATCAAATCATTTACATACAAATTTAAGAAGAGCACATACGAAAGTAGACAACAGCAGGATGAGGCAGACCGGGAAAATCAAAAGACTACCTTGAAGGATAGACAGTCTTGTTCCAACGGATGAACGTTGGTATTTATGGAGTCACTGCTCGAGTAATGAAATCCACTAAACGCCGAGCATACTAAAAAAACAAGTTTGTCACTTCACTGACAATTAGAAAATGAGTAGGTGGAAAACCGCCTGAAGGATAAATGCAAGTTCTAGGCAGATAAGTATGTTCATACATGATTTTTCTGCATTACACTTGCAAATGGAACCTTATATCGACGGAAGCATAACGCTCAACTCTTTTTTCCCTTCGAAAGTGTAAGTTCATGGTCACTAACCTGGTCCGGCTTGACAGTACTGATATTTTCAGCGTCTGACCCATATTTGACCGTTTTCGCTGCTGTGGCTGTACGCTTCTTAACACCATAATAAGTGAGAATGTCCACAAGTCCAATGAAGTAAATCAATTTCTTGGGAGAATCTAAAAAAGAATTAGTAGTGACGTTCCTGGGTGTCCCCGTGTGAAATGGGAGTTCTACCTGGATGACTAGCAATAGCATAGTATTCATCATCCAGATCAGGTCCACCGGACAGGGGCGGAAAGGCTCCCGTAGAAGGAATTGGTGATTCTGGTGGCGTAGGACACAGCTCATCACCCGATTCTTCACTAACATGCTCTACAGGTCGTTTCGCCAGCTCTTCTGCTGCACGTTCACAGTCATGAATGCCTAAAAAAAATTCTCAAAAACTGTCAACTCGGAAAAATTAGTTTTCTAACCCAAAAGTAGGGAGTAGTCCATAAGATGCATTTTTGACAGCCAAGCAGTATCAGAAGCCAACATGTCCAACAACTGGTGACGCGTCTCCTAAGAATTGAACAATTTATGAATTAATAAACCGCGTCGAATGAAGAATATATAAAAAAAAACTCACATCAGGAAGGCTCAGTTTTTCATTCATCTCCAGGAAATCGTTATCTTTCAACGTAGGCACTTCTTTGGCCTTCTCCTTCTCAGAAGCCGCACGCGATACCGTGGAACCCTTGAATGAAGAATAAATCTACATTAACAGCAATGAATGACGAATCCATTTGCAAAATAGGATATGCTCAATATAAATTCGAGCATTTCAAATGAAGCCCAAAAGAAGACATTTTTCGCAGCACCGATTCCCTATTATTCCTGGACATAAGTACATTAAATTTTATGTTCGATAGCGTACCCATACTCGGTAATTGTCTGTTTACTCGTCGCTAAGCAATCCCATGACCAAGCTTTTGACAAAACCTCTTTTTACATGACACTGGGACCCGAATCCTTTTAAATACAAGACCGTCAGGATAGAGCACCCTCTTTCTGGCAACTACACCCACTCCTCCGTCCTTCTCGAGTTTTCCTTCTTCAGGACTCGACATGACATCCCAGTGGTGCCTGATCCTATACAAGCGTAGAAACATGCGAAAAAATGACCACATAGTTGAAATAGTAGAAAGGGGATAATATCTAGAAGAATAATCGACCTTCAGATCGAATTTAGTGTGCACATTGTACTTTCGTCCGAACACATTTCGCATAACAATCAGGTAAGTCTCAGAGCCATCGATTGTAAGCCTGAAAGAATGCCATCATGATATGCTCGGCGAGACAACGACATATTATACTTCTCATACTCATGAGCAATCCATCACAAATATCACAAATTTACTTTTTTTCATTGGCATTCTTCTCTCATGGTTTCCCATTATTGTATAATCCAATCATAGATGAAGATTCTACATCAAATTTTCACAGTTTTGGGTTTGGCGTAGGCAACTTCAAAAGCAGTTATGTAACCTTATAAGCGATCAGATTGTTGATGTGGGAGCCCAATGGAAGGCACAAGTAGTGGACGGATAAGCAGGGAACGGAAGAGCTGACGCGAAAAGACAAACGATTTAATGCTTAAGGGGTGAATAATGCAAATGCAAACACATGTTTTCTAGATGCCTTGTGGCTCACTTTCATTTACTTATAACACGGCTTTCGTGTCATTCATTCTTTGCGAAGGGCAGAAACAGGCAGTATACAATTTCACAAGCCAGTTTTTCATTTGGAAACGGAATTTCGAAATTCATCCTCAGAAAGGTTTTTCAGGAAGATCTATGCACATTTGTTTACACTAATTTCTTCACAATAGTGTAAGAGAGGGCGGATAAACGTGACATACACCGCGCTGTCACTTGCACTTTGCAACATATAGGTTGCATAGATTACTTCAACATTGTGTAATAATGTTAAAATACTATTACTCAATGAAATGATAAATAGCATTGTTAGCCCACATTACCTGTACAGAGCTAAGTACTGAGGTAATAATGTTTTTCCTTGCTTTTCCACGACATATTCGTGATAATCTCGTAAAACCGAATGCAATTCTGCAACCGCTTCAGAATCCATCGACTATAAAACAGCAAATGACCAAAGAAAAGAGAATGGCCGACATTAAGACCATACGTACCTTTATAACGAATTTCTTATCAAACGAAACGAAGAGCCTAGGAGGAGCACCAGTCTTTGAGCCATCAAGCTGGTCTGGCTCTGGCTCATAAAGGGTCAGGGAGCGAAGATATTCAGTTGAATCAACGCCGAATTGCTCGCGGAGGTTACGGAACACATTCGGGCAGTACTCTTTCACCTTGAAAAAGTGACTTTCATGGATTACGGAATAGGCTAATAGAATAGAACCTACCAAATGTTGAGAGGAAACGTTGCATCAAGGAGGTGAAATTAGAGATACAAACCTTGTAGTGGCTTGGCATAATGTCTTTGTTGAAATAGTGATTGTCGATTTTTACTTTGGCATATGCCTTAAAATCATCCGGCATGAGTAGCCCTGGAGGTGGAACGTGTTCCAGTTGTCCGATCGTGTGATTAACTCCCCACATAAATACCGATAGCAGAGGCTCCTTAACAAAGATAAATTTTGAAATAAGAAACATATTCGGCAAAAAAAAAAAACGTAAATAAATTGGAGTCAAAAGATATATGAAGAGAAACATATCAAACCTTGGCGCGAAAGAGTTTCCATTTAGGCACGAGAATTTTTCCCTTCCCCTTAATTTTGCCTAATGTACGAGGAGTTTTCTTTTTTGAGGACATCACTGACTGTCGACTAAGCAGAACCTGAAAAATATGTAAACTCGAGGCAGTGTCAGCGAAACGACGAGGTGTAACGGAAGCACATTGACCAGAAGTTGTAACACGGATGTTATTTTACAAGCTAATGATAAGTACAATACCGTTGGTCAGTATACCGAGAAAATGACTGGTCCATAGGGAACTACTAAAAATAATTCCTCAATGAGACTGCAAATACAGCAAAAATTGGCCCATTTAAACAGGCGATTATTACTTTTTCTTCTATGCTCCAACTTATTCTTTACAAGTCAAAATAGCAAACTGAAGAGAGGAGGTAATGGGCGAAAGAGAAAAACCGTGGGCTGTGTGAGGCCGTTTTCAGCCAACCTAATTCCTCCAACGCCTCCATAAATTTCTTCTTTCACTGCGTTGCTTGAACCATTACATCCAGTTACCTGGATACATGCCATATACCTAGCCCCTCCGTTGTTCTAACGAGGTTGCCTTCCTAAGGACATCACGAAGCATCATGAAAATAGTGTTGTTAGTCATGCTTCCGACACCAACAAAGATAAGACTCCAGTCGTGATTCACTGTCATGAAAAACTTCTATTTGCTAGAGTATTCCTCTTCTGCAAAAGTACTAAGTGCTTCTAAGCGTCTGATTCCCTCTGCTAGGCCACCGTAAGGTCCTGGCTCGGTAAAAGCATGGTAAAGACAATTCAAGAAAACCAGCAACGAGAGTCACGCCCTAAGGGCCACAGCGAACTTAAATGGGACTAATGTTATTCTTGCGCCAGATAGAAAATGTAAACGGAATCAGATGGGCACCTATAAGGAGGAATAACTGAACGTCATGGAGTAAATGTAACTAACTGCACTACACCCTTTTCTTTCAATATGTTTCAACCAAAAATGAAAACGAACACGCGAAGGGGGAAAAACTCATCAGTGACGACAAAATGAAATGTTGCCATGAAAACTTTTGACTGGAAAAAGAATAGCGGGAGCAGAAGGCATTTGTTTGGGGAAACCAGCCTCCCAACCGGTTATGTAGAGGCTGATGTACGTTCGCACATCACAACACATGTCAAATTTACTGTTCCACCAACAGAAACTGCATAGATTTGGACAATTATTATGAAACCATGTGGACAACAGGTATCAACCACACGGAACACACTCACATAGCTTCAGAAAAGAGCCAAAATCTACAACAGATCCTTTTGAACTATATAGATTTGAATAAGGTAAAGGTAGGTAGAAGAAGTACACGTCAGTCCTATGTGTTCTGAACAAAACAAGGCGTTGACTAATAGTTTTCTCCTAGAATGTCACCAGAACTGGTATGGAAATGGAACACCCATCAAGGGTCCTCCCCTAAATTTCCAATTCCAACGCTCTATCAGTACTTTTGCCCTGAGAATCGGCATGAATCATTTGAAAACCATAGGACGCGGAGCGAATGGATCAGATCTTGAAATTCCTTACCCTTACTCAATTAGAAAATACCCTTTACCCTTGCATAATTTCGCTAAAAGCCACTTGTATCATCGGAACCACTACTGAGGAGCAAATATTTGTTGATATTTTATGGAAGTATCAAAGAAGAAGAAAACTGGCGTGAGAATCCGTTCGAAACTGTAGGAAATGTTTATAGAAATGGAGGCCAGAGTTCAGTACTGAAAAGTTGACGACGAAATGTTAATAGGCAAAAACATTGGAATGTTGACAACGATCCAAAAATACGGATCAAATATACCGCATCATATGATCAGGACTCCCGTTTCAAAATAAAAAGCCTAGACAATAAGGCAAATGCATTGATTGCTGTGCAGAGCCTTTCCCTCGCCATAATCAGGCGGTCGGAAGAATTGATCTAGCTCTCAAGGAGTGCAAGATGGCCTTGCTGATTGGGCGAACGGAAGAACGAGGTCTACTATCATTTAAGCGGGTGCTGACCAGCTTAATCGGCCATAAACTAAGGCGGAACGGCGAAATTCATGTCGTAGAGTGAAGCAGTTCAAACAACATATAATGCTTATCATAGCCGTAAACGGCGCACATGTGTTGATGAGAAATCATGCAATTTGACTGTGGTACGGTTCCAAGGTGAGACATTCTATATCCTTTGGAATACTTATCTGGAGGCTGGGAAATTCCCAGGTGCCACACAGCTGCCTCTAAAAGCTAATCGAAGCTGAACGTTTTACTTTATCATATACTAACGATACTTCTAGTGAAAGAGCTTATTACGCAAAATAATTTGGCAAACTTCCTTTATACCATGAAAAATGAACATTTCCGGTAGTTGCATTATAGCCATGCAAAGCAAACTCTGCAAAAGGTTCGAAAAAGTGCTCATAATCAATAGAACGGCCTAATCGTAGAGGGCCTAACAATAAGTAAGCCAGCATCAGCTAATTTAAGGTGTTTACTTTAAAATTGAGATAAAATTGATAAACCCAAAGAGAGGAGTGGGGCATAGGGCGGATCTAATACCAGGGCTGTTCGTCACCTTCATTCACCCAACTCACCCCTCATAGGTGTGAACATTTACCGGGTTCATAGAACTGTTGTTCCACACTCTTCGAAATTTTGCTATGGAAATGAAAAAATCGTGTTGGCCATTTGTTCTTACTGCTTGCTCATCTCTCCAGCCTACCCGAGAAAGTTCCCATTTCAAAGGAATCTCTCAAGTCGTGTGATTTCAATCCAACATCATCTGAGTGACAGCGCTCGGGAAGATCCAAAGTCAGAACTTTTTCTTACACAAACTATTTGATATTTCCTCTTTGTTTACACATAATCTTTAGCCTCATAACGAAAATCTCACGATCAATCACTTTGTTTTATCGGTATGTACGGCTTCACGGTTAATGCGATAAACAACCCCAAACAATCCAAAATAAACAAAAAACGGAGAAAAAGTTGACGGCATCATAGAATTCACTCTCATAAAGCGGATAATACATGTGAAAAGACATGGTACGAATAGAAAACAGCGATATGACAGCAAGATGTCGGTGAAACAAAAGGACCAAGAAACAATTGGTCATATTTAACAACTGGGCGGAACCTCAAACTACTCCATTTAGGCTGTAAATGGCTCTGACATACACCAACGAGCACGAGCCAAACTAACCACTGGGATCGATATAAGTACGAACCACCACTAGTCCTCAACAATGGACGAGGCACAATCTGTGGTCGTTCGCCAAAATATCGACCATCTTACACGGAACCTGCGCCAGGCGTCAGAAGCTGACGCCGATTTGGTG